ATAAGTTTTGTCCACATCCACTCTGAGGGGTCCTGCGTCCTTTCCTGCCAGGGGAACGTGAGGGTGACCCTTTCTCTGGGCTTGCCACCTCTCTTGACTCTTTCAAATTCAAAGAGCTTTATTAGAATGGGTGATGCATCAAAGTGTCACCAAAGCAATACCTTACTCTTCCATTCTTTGGATCTCCTCCTCCCTCTGACACCGTCCCCTTGTCCCTCTCCACGTCTCTCTGCTTTTCTCTCCTCTTCTGTCCCTGCGTTTGATTTTCTCTCCGGAAGACCTCTATGCTGCAAGGTAGCTGGGCTCCCTCTTGGAGAGCGAGAGATGGAGACAGGTAGAGAAAGTCATGAAAGGTCAGTAATAGATCTGTGTCGCCCTGGTCAGGAGAGCTCTGTGCTGATTGAATTACTGAAGGAGGGCAGCTTTTTCCTGGCAGCTCAGATGTATTAGAGAAACACAGTGGCATTTCTTTCCATGTGCCCGGTTTTCATTGCTAATTCATTATGTGTGTGGCTGCATGAGTTCTGTGAGTTCATCCTGCTGCCTGTTGCATAGTGTGGTGCACAGAGAACCTAGCATGCTGAAGTGAGCAGGAGACAGGAGCCTGTTGTGAGTGGTCGATTTCCTTCCAGGTTGGTGATTTCTGGATGAGGATTCGGATGACCCTGGCAGAGGTGATTGCATTTGTAATGGAAGAGCAATTGAACTTAGCCTGTCATTTCAGGATTTACAATATGGGTTTGCTGTGCTAACACACAGTAATCTTTTTCTCAGTGAAAACTCTCACACGCTCATACCTCCCCCCCCCCCACCCAATGTGCAGAAGCTGCGAGTCGTGGTGATTGGCGCTATGGCAGCAGGGTGTCTGCTGGCACACACCAGGACACCTTCACACTCCCCAGTGATGTATGACTTGAAGGAGCATGTTAGCGGCATCTGGATCTATGAGGATCATGCCAGCATCTAGAACAATGGGCTTGCCAGTGCACAGTAGCTTTTATAGACACTTTAACAGTGCAGTAACACTGGACTGACCAGAGAGAAAACTCATCTGTACACAGGTATACTGATAGGATGCAGACTTCACATGCTATCTGCATGCATCTGGGCATTGGTACAATAATAGAATTCATTCGCCTGTGCACAGGTGTTTTTGGTTGACTTACGGTATCTACACTTTGAGCCTCTATGCCACTATACCACACAAAAATGTACACTGAAAGAAAATGCCATGTATATCAAATAAAAGGAAAAAGACAGGTTAAAGCCCATCTGCAACAGCCTGACAATTATAGTCTGAGTGTCGTTTGTGTGTGTCCCTCTATGATCGCCCTCTCTCTGTCTGTAAGACCAACCTGCGAAGGAAGTGATGATGTTCTCTGACTTCCCCTTTGACCAACCTGCCCTTCGTCCTGCTACATAGAGAGGTGCTGCAGTGTTAGAGAGTGAGCTACTGCAATACTCCACACATTGGGGTACACTGACCCTGCATGACCCTGATACTGTTACTCCAGCCAGCGCACAAGTGCTAACAAGATGGAAGAGCTTGTCTGTCACAGTTATGGAACAGGCTTTTTTATTCCAGGGTAAAGATCACAGAGTAAATTTGTCATACTTTGCACTGCTGAAGCAACAGACAGTTCTGTGTAATGAAACAGTTCTTTCCAGACCCTATGCGGACGACACAATCCAGGGTGGAGTGAGGAAACACTAGGGAAAAGTCAGGCAGGAATCGGGAATGAATACGGGGGGGCGTGTCCAAACTGCGCAGGTGTCCAGGAGGTCATCCAAACAGGGAATCCAAGAATCCAAAAACAAGCATAAATCCATGGCCAGGCAATCCATCCAGGAGATTAAAATCGGGAACCGGGTCTGGACCGGTGGGGGGAACAGGAACAGAAAGTTAAAAACATAACGGAGCCAGGCGATTACAGGTCCCGGGCTCGCACGATATGGGAATCAGTGCAGAGCCCCGAACTGAGTGGGTGTCTGGCTTTTAAGGGGGACAGGAAGGAGGCTGGAACAAGGGGCAGGTGCACAAAATCAGGTCCGAAGTGAAAGAGCCCTTAAGGAGGAGGGACTACAATCGTGACATTCTGGCTGGTGCAATGTATAAAGGACACTGGTTTTCTTGGTTTTCAACAATGAACTGTGCGCCAGCGAGGGTCAAGGGCTTGAATCTAAGACACATCTGAAACAACCTGGTCTCAGTTTCATTTTATGACAGGGGGTTCACGTGTACATTTTAAACCATATCATGTGGCCCTGCTTTGTTCTGAAACGTCTAAGCTTTTTTTTCACTCTTCCTCACAAAGACGTCTGGTTTAATTTTAGACCGACTGGGGAGGGCAGTGGGAGGGGGGGGGGCGTAGGTCTAAAAATAGCCGGTGGAGTGGTGTGCGGAATCTATTACATGTGCAGAAGCAGTGGAGTTTGATGGGCTTATCAGCACACAGACACCTTGCCCAGAGCTGACCTTGGGGAGGTCGGGGCGGTGATGGCCCACACTGCCCACTCTAAAATCTCCAGCCCTGCTAGGCCTTTCCAGGACTCCAACAGAGGCTGCTTGAGCATGATTTCCCCATCATTCCGGCTGAATTTAAGATTCTTTTTCACTGCTCACATTTCAACAGTTTTTGAAACTTAGGTCCCGGACTTCCACTGAACTCACTCTGCAGTCTTGGGACCAATCAGGCTCACAGGTGCGAGACAGGCAGGGTGCCTGACATCGGTCTAGAGAATCACCCTCAGACCTTGGTGCAACTGGAATGCCTTTTGTTTGCTGGACAGGCAGACAATGACATGATTGCATATAATGGTATACACTGGTACACACTGACTGACACAGACTGACAGAACTAGAGTAGCACACTGAATGACACTGACTGACACACTCCCCGACACACTGACTGGCAGATCTACTGACTGACACACTCCC